CTGAACATTCACTTGATATAGTCACAAATCATTCTTAAAGAAAAGTAAATTATCTCTTTTTATAAAAATTCAATGTAACGGCAAAAGTTTGGAATAAACTATACAAATTACATGAAAAGGTATGACACGAAAATGATAATTTAAGGAAGCATGCAACATATTCGATATTACTATTTTTTACTATTTTTTAAGGATTCCCCTTTTCTCATTTTTATACTAACCTCAAACTTTCGGTTTTATATTTCAAAAACTTATGGCGTGGTAATATTTAAAACAATCAGTTTAATTGATCCGACTATGTTGTTTATGTAAAAACTTACTGTTCCGGCAGGCTGGGCGTTAAAGTCCGTCTCTTCCCCGCGTCGTATATAGGTAGTGGCCTAAATAATATTGACTAACATGTACAGTTTATCAGTTGTTCCCCTTGAAGAATAAGGAAGTATATTTTTATTCTAGAATAATCGATTAAATTTTGAAGAGAAAGATTGAAGTCAATTATTCGACAGGTAACATTCTTTTTTTTTTTTTTAAAAACTGTATGAAATATTTTTACATGTGATTTTGTTTATGGATAAAATCATACGTTCTCACAGTTTATTAATAGTTTGATTTATATTAAATTGTGTAGACATTAAGCTTTAAAAAAAAAGAGCAATTTGATCATGTAAATAAAGACATAGTAAGAATAAGGCCCTAAGAACACTGCATGGTACTTTTTTTATGTTCTTGGTGTTTTTGTTATTTTTTTTGTTTTTTGGTGTGTTTTTTATCATTATTATTATTATTATTTTGTTGTTTTTTTGTTTTTTGTTTGTTTGTTTGTTTTTTTTTTTTTTTTGTTTTTTTTTTTTTGGGGGGGGGGGGGGGGTAAAATTCTGTATATTTAACAGCTTCCCAAAAAGAGTTCAGTATCTTCCAGACACCCATGTGACTGGCATTTTCTTCTTTTAACCTTTTTTCCTTTTTTTTCCTTCAAAGAAAGTAAAATATTAAATAAACCTTTTTATCAAAATATTGCGGTGTTTGTTTACAAATTGTAGGATATGACGCAGTTCTGTTCTGGTTAACAGCTCTGACTGACCAAGTTTCAAGTTTTATTGATACACTCAGCATATTTACATCTCGTATGATAAGCGGTGTTCACTAAAATATAAAGAAATTTGCAAAATGCTTAATCATTTTGTGTATACAAATCAAATTGACTATTGTATGTTTAAAAAGAATTTATGACTACAACATTTTATCATATACAATATAACCAACTATGTATACAAGCTAAATTTTGCAAAACAGGAGATTTTTATAGATTTTAAATAAAGAAAACAATGTGACTAGCCAGTTTGATTCTAAAAGTGATCGAGTATTACATAAACATCTTTAACCTTATTGTTTAATGTCTGTGGATCTGTTTAAGACATTTATTTCCTAAACGTTAACATATGTTTTGTTGATGGTTAGATATGCTTTCGTTCATTTTCAAAATATCTACATGAAAAACATGTAATGGAATTCATCACCTGTATCATTTGAGTTACAAAGAGCTAATTTTCTTTCATTTTGAACAATACCTAACCACCTTCCTCTTTATATAGGGAGGAGATTGTTACACAATCGAAAATTAACAAATGTTCTTAAATATTTGTCTCACTGTAAACAAAGGTATGGTTCAAAGCAATGATCAGTTTTGTACATTCTATAATTAAGCATTTTTGGCATTGAATCGATTTCACTACGCCATTTTTGTATGTATTGGCTACACATATACATATCCAGGGTTTTTAACAATAAGCATTCAGAACCAGTTAACTTCTGATTTAACCAAATAAAAATCATACCTGTGTCGTCAAAAATACTCTTAACATTGATAACCAATTGAACTCTACCATTTCTTACAAAATCTTCATATACAAGCTTATAAATATTTGACGATATTTTTTTGTTGAATTACTGTTGACTAAATCATACCAATAACCAGCAATTCGTTTTTATAGTAATTGATAATGGGAATCGCTGAACATGTAAAAATGATGTAATACATATTTAAGGAAATCTGTATGCACGTTTTCTGTGAGCGACAAGTCACCATAACCCAAAACTTCACATCCATAAGTTAAAATTGGTACAATTGTGGGATCGAATAACATAAATTGACAATCAATAGGTAAATCTAGATTTCTTATAGAAACCAAGCATTGTCCACCTTGCTTGTTCAACATGTTTCTTTGCAACCGCAAATTGTCAGTTCTTGAAAAAAACAACACCAAGATATTTAAACGTGTCTACGATATCAAAAACGTTATTATCTACCGTAAATTAATATGTCTATTTCTTTTATCACAAAATGCCATTACCATGCCATGTTTTATCAATGCTCTCCATACAGAGTCAAAGGCTTTTTGAAAATCAATAAAAGCACAAAAATGTTTTGTTTCTTATGTTTAAGGTAATATGTTGATATGACTGACCGATACATTACCTCCAATCAGTATATATATAAAGAAAGAGTATAATTTTATTCTATTCTAGGAACATTGACCAACTTTGACAGTGAAAGTACAATTTTCCACAGGTCATTATATAAAATATGTTCTACATGAGATACGAAAATATTTTTGCAAAGATTTTGGTATTTCGATTTATGAGAAACAGTGTAGACATAGACCTAACATTTTACTTTTAACGAGCAAGTTTGATCCTGTTAAAAGAAATGATGATTTATGTTTAAGAACATTACACGTTTCTATGTTGTTGTTTTTGTTTTAACATTAAGAAACTAAAATCTTCCCATTTGTAATTTTAGTTACACATTTCATTATGGATATTAAAAAATAGGTTAAAACATGTTTTTGAAGAACAAAACAAAAATTCACACAAAAATGAAATGGGGGATTTTAAAAAGACGGTTCTTGGCATGACACTTTTTGATCAAACAAAAATTTTGAGTCTTTTTGAAATCAAAATGATTATATTCATATTTAATCGCCCATTCAATTATTTTTTTTTAGATCTTTGAATACGTTATGGAATTTTGCTTTTTTCAGATAAGCAAATATATCGATTTTTATATCATGTTATCACTTATCATTTTTGTTTTATTTATTTACATATCTCTTTTGTCGAATAATTTATTCTTTCATATAACTTTAATTTCAAATATCAAAACATTATGCGCTTTGTTTCCTATTTGATTTTTTTATTTCATTTTATTATTTATTCATGCCTAATGACTGGCTTTATAATTACAAACCTATCTAAATAACCTTACTTGACCTACTCAATGGTAAGATGTAAACTGTCGCAATCTACAAAAGGTACAATTACTTTGCTACACTCAAGTCATATTAGTAGGCACTTTTTATAGCGAAGTTAATTGCCTATAATTTGTTCAACAGATTTATCCAAACTTAACTGCGCAGATAAACAGATTTTTTAAACGATTTTCGGTATTTAAAGATTTTAAATAGATCAGTTTTTATATTATGAATATATATCTCACAATGCCTGTCATATCATTGACAATTAGGCTTGTATTATACTTAATTTTAAAGCAGTCACACTACTTAAGTTTGTGACGAACAATATGCATATTGTTTCACATTGTAGCCATAACCTTATTGTATATCTCATACACATGAATATAAAATACTGCTTGATTGTTTTAACGAAATTATAAATACCAGTTGTTAACTTTATCCGCTAGGTATTTATAAGATTTTATACTATTTTAAGATATAATGAAGAAAAACAAATTATCTGCACATCAGTTACCTTTATTCCTGTATCATTAAAATCATGTACTTGTTTTTTTATTAAACTGTTTGTTACTTTCATACCAATATAAACCTTTTTGTTTTTGATAAACAGTTAAATTGTAATGTTTCAGTTGCATTAAAGGACTGCTCTGTTACTCCTTTGTTGATATTTTAAACACAATAGCGGCGATATATATATTAACCAAGCAGCGCCGAATGATGTCAGGGAAAGTATACAAAGATCCTTATTGATCATTAGATATCAATTTTGCTCTTATTAAATTGTGCACTTTTGTTCGTTCGTCCCTGACATATCATACCATCAATTACTTCTTGATACATAAAGTTAAAATGTCGGGTCAACTAACTTAATAACTAACTTAATAATAGTTCAAACTGCAATTTGTTGATTTCAATTACAAAAAGAAATGTTGTTGTTTTTTGTCTAGAACTTAAATTTGACACTCACATTGGGATTTTATAATGGCTTAATGGACACGTTTTTAATAATATATGTATACTGTAAGGTTTGAGGAATAAATTGTCGTTTTTACTTTTCATTCATGATTTGTTTATTAAAGAAGAAAAGAAAACTTCGCTTTTCAATGTCGCTCCTACATTCTTTCAGATATGTTAATATATTTTCTATCCTTGAAGATCGTTCAGCACGACATAATTATTGTGTTTTTGGTATTTCTAGTGCCTTCTTTATGACATTTTTCTGTGCGGTTTCAGTATTCCTACTTAATTACTGTTTTACTGTAAGGATATGTTGTCTGCTTTTAAAATATTTCTTTTGGCGGCTTGTCAGTGATATGCAGGTCTATTAACCTTAATCATCTTTTAAAATTCAATTTTATCAAGTTTTACCGCCGTATAAACACAAGTACGGACGTTTCTTAATTTGAAAAATCCACAGATTCATGTTAATGTCTCGCGAACACTCACAGATGAAAAACCTTTATACGTATGTATTGGTGTTCAATACAGCTTTTAATGACTAATCTTAGCAATATTTAAATGTATTTTTGTTAATTTTATGTAATACTATATAATATAAATTGGTCTGGATAAGAAGCAATTTTAAAGTCCATTGAACTAAACATAGACTAAGAGCAAGCCGTGTCAGAAAAAAAAGCGAACACTCTCTTCACTTTGATTGTGTTGAATGACTACTCAAACCAATTTTTAATTAAAAAAACATTGACAGTAGGTTACAACTTCATAAATGTTCATTTAAAGGTAAGGCTGAAGAATGAGTTCCATACTCGTTGCAGCAATTGATTTCGGAACGACATATTCCGGATGGGCCTTTTCTTTCAAGGGTGACTTTCATAATAATCCAACAAAAGTTTGCGCCAGAAATTGGATCGGCAATCAACTCATCTCGGCTAAAGGTATATTTCATCATTTACAGTTTATTTTTTTATAGATTAAAGGCATTAGTGAAAACTTATTAGTGATGCACAGAGTTGCCATTCTTCATTAATATGAGAAAAGCTCAATGAATAATAATAAAATATTTGAGTTTTTGAAATGGTTTTATCTTAAAAATTGCCATAAGTTTTGTTAACTATGCAGTACTTAAATAATGTAAAAGAATAATGATGTTGTGTCCGTGTATGATTTCGGTATACATGTTTAATTTTATAAGTCCGTTATGTTAAATTTACTTCTGCAAGTAACGTGAAACTATTTCAAAAAAGAAAAAGAATGAAAGCAAAATATAATTGATCACACTGTTATGCCTTTATTTTTATTAGTCCGTTATGTTAACTTTACTTCTGTAAGTAACATTGTCTTTTGTTAGCCTAATAAGTCTAATAAAAATGTGCTAGTAGCAGCTAACAAAACAGAATCGGGTGCATGTTAACTATTTTATTTCATTTCACCAATTTATACATTTCTAGCACCAACATGTGTTCTGATTGAACCGGATGGGAAAACGTTGGATTCTTTCGGATACAAGGCGGAGAACAAGTATGCGGATCTTTCGGAAGAAAGGGCTCACGAACCATGGTACTACTTCTGGAGATTTAAAATGATGCTTTATGATAAGATGGTAATCTTTATAATATTTCCTTTGGTACTGCATACATAGGTTATTTACATTAATATGTTTGCTAGAATTTGCATGCAATGTGATGTCGAATTTTTGGTTGTTTTGTTGGGTTTTAATTCTTACCGACACCGTAATGTTTACGTGGAAACTTTCCAGCTTTACATTATTGAGGAACTAGTCGGCACGTGAGTAGAACCTCCGGTCCTCCGAACGCTATATGGATAGCTTCCAAACGGTCCAAGGTCTCTCATTCGAACTTTCTGTGATATCTTATAACTTATAACTTGGATCTTAGAATTTAGGTCTTAGTTCTTAAAACTAGAGATCCCATAAAGACAGGAAAACGCCATATTGACTGCAAGATAGACATGAAGATGTATGTGAGGTAAACTTCTAATTATATTTCTTTAATTATATATTTTAAGAATTGCAGAGATATAGCTATTATGTTAACTTATTAGGTTATTATATATGTATAACTTAAAAGGCGTGGTGAAAAACATTCCAATTCAATAGGAGGCAAAAGTAGCATTTTAAGCCCATTTTAGCACAAATTAGAGACTGACTACCGGTTGCAATGTCTAGAGATTCTGTAATGAGACTGATGCCACAAATTGATCCCAAAGGAATTAAACGCAAAGCCACCAATCATTTCGGCGAAGATATGTCTCGAAAGGTCCTTACTTTGTGTCGCATGTAAATTGTTACGACAAGTTAAAGCCATAAGGATTCTGCATCCACGGAGCTATCGACGTATACAGTCAACGCATTTTATGTCTCTAAGTATCAAACAGCAACAACTCGCCCGCATTGATTGTGTCATACTACCTTGACACATTAAAGGAATTTGGCATTTTGCAGAAATGTATATCCAAGTTCTTAGATCATCATTCTGGTTTAATTTTCAAGTTCAAGTATTATGTTTACTCTGTATGTTCGATGTTTTATCATACCCCCACCACAAAATGTGGGGGTCTATAATGGATACGTTTGTCGCGTCCGTCCGTCCGTCTCCATTATCGTGACCGCTCTATAAATCCTATACCCAAACTTGGCTCAAATGTTCACCTCAACAAGCGGATGTGCAGAACCTATGTTGCCCATGTGTCAGCTCAAGGTCATGGTCACATTTGAAGGTCAAATATCAAACAATCAAATATTAGACAGTATGTCGTGTCCGCTCTGTAAGTCCTACACTAATTGAAAGATTTCTTTCAAACTTGGCTCAAAGTCACCTCAACAAGGGGATTTGCAGAACCCATGTTGCCCATGTGTCAGCTCAAGGTCAAGGTCACATTTGAAGGTCAAATATCAAACAATCAAATATAAGACAGTATGTCGTGTCAGCTCTGTAAGTCCTACGCGTATTGAAAGATTTCTTTTAAACTTGGCTCAAACGTTAACCTCAACAAGGGGATGTGCAGAACCTATGTTGCCAATGTGTCAGCTCAAGGTCATGGTCACATTTGAAGGTTAAATATCAAACAATCAAATATTAGACAGTATGTCGTGTCCGCTCTGTAAGTCCTACACTAATTGAAAGATTTCTTTCAAACTTGGCTCAAATGTTCACCTCAACAAGGGGATGTGCAGAACCCATGTTGCCCATGTGTCAGCTCAAGGTCAAGGTCACATTTGAAGGTCAAATATCAAACAATCAAATATAAGACAGTATGTCGTGTCAGCTCTGTAAGTCCTACGCGTATTGAAAGATTTCTTTTTAACTTGGCTCAAATGTTCACCTCAACAAGGGTGTGTGCAGAACCCATGTTGCCTATGTGTCAGCTCAAGGTCAAGGTCACAATTGATTGTTAAATATCAAACAATTAAAAATTAGACAGTATGTCGTGTCTGCTCTGTAAGTCCTACACTAATTGAAAGATTTTCTTCAATCTTGGCTCAAATGTTCACCTCCACAAAGGGGATGTGCAGAACCCATGTTGCCCTTTTGCCGGCTAAAGGTCAAGGTCACACTTGAAGTCAAAAATTGACTTAGAAATATTCTAAAATTTTAACATTATTTGAATATTTCTGAAACTAGAAAAAGATATTTGCTTGAAACTTAAAATATATATGAAGTGTCACAATTAAGATATGCAGGTCAAAATTCATATCTCTGTATTGCATTTTGATAAAGATATGCCCCTTTTTAAGTTTTCAAATTTACATACAATCAAATTTAGACAATATGTCGTGTCCGCTCTATAAATCCTGTACTAATAGAAGAATTTTCTTCAAACTTTACTCAAATGTTTACCTCAACAAGGTTATGTGCAGAACCCATGTTATCTTTGTGCCGGCTTAAGGTCAAGGTCACACCTGAAGGTCAAAATTGACTTAGAAAATGTTCTTAAATTTTAACATGTACTTGAATATTTCAGAAACTAGCTCAGGTATTTGCTTGAAACTTAAAATATATATGAGGTGTCGCAAGTGAGATATGCAGGTCAAGTTTCATAACTCTGTTTGCATTTTGACAAAGTTATGCCTCTTTTTAAGTTTTTAGATTTGCATACAATATTGTGTCCGCTCTATAAATTCTATACTAATGGAAGGATTTTCTTCAAACTTTACTCAAATGTTCAACCCAAATGGGCTAGTGCAGAACCCATCTTACCCTTGTGCCAGCTTAAGGTCAAGGCCACACTTGAAGGTCAAAAATTGTTCTGAAATTTTAACATGTACTTTAATATTTCTAAAACTAGAACAGATAATCATTTGAAACTTATACGAAGTGTCGCAAGTAAGATATGCTGGTCAAGTTTCATAACTAAAAAAAGTGGGGGTGGGGATAACTTTGTATTGTATTTTGTCAAAGTTAAGTACATTTTTATATCTTTAAATTTATTTACTATAATACTTCTTAAATCAGAACAGATATTTACTTGAAACTTAAATTTTATATGAATGGTTACAAGTACGCTCAGATGACGAAAATTATCCAATTCCATTGAATTATGCCAGAAGTTATGCCCCTTTTAGGCTTAGAAAATGTTCTGTCAAGGACATTGGTGGGGTATGAATTGCATTCAGCGATAGTTCTAGTTTCATCTGAACCATGCTTACAAGAACATTCATCGTACACTTAGCAGCCTTGGTTTAAAGATTCTTCAATAAAAGAGAAAATTGCTAAAAATACACTACATATTTAAAATATTCATTTTGATAAGATTTTTAAGAGTTTGAAATTATTTTTTTACAGGTTTACAAACTGTGTATGATTGTTATTGTGGTTTTTAAAAATATGATATGATAATACAATTTTCTTTTTTTTTCAATGTACAAAGTTTAAGATTTGCCTTTTCAGAATTTGTTCTATATTTTTAAGGTTTTGAAAAGTTTTTTCGAAATGAAGATAAGTGAAGTATCGTGGGAAGACAACCATTACAAAGTACTAGGTTGCTCTGTATTACCAATCTTATTTCTTAAGAATAATTCTTAGCTTATCATCAGTGAAAAGTATACCCGGTCATGACGTATTGTGAGCTGCATTTTCCATTCAATAATATGCATCATTTGATTATAATAATTAAAACATAGGCTTATGTCACATTACCATTTTGCTCATATTCACAGATAGCCATCCTAGTGGTAAGAACTTCCTTTTAACTTTAGGCTTTTACCATATATTTTATTGAACTCACCATTTCTTGAGAATTACAATATTTTAGTTTGAATACACACGTACCAATTCTTGACTACTTTAACTACAAGAAAACAAGACATGGAGACATCTCATTAATTTTCTTAAATATAAATTATGCACATGTCTTCTGCAAAAATCAGTTTCTGACTCGTTCAAACCGTAATACGCTTATGCGACATTTTCCGATATGTTTTGACAGTCCCGATGACTTCGAGTAAGAATATATGGTCTTGGCCTAAAGATGACATGGATCTAAAATATCATTTATTTATTACATTTACCAAACTTGAGTATTTCTTGAACTATTCGGTCATATATTCACACTAACTTATCATATATTGTATTGGATTTTACCATAACTTCCTGAGCTTTTTGTCTCATTGTATCTCTGAGATCATACAAACTTCTCTTTTTCTACGAATACTAGTAGTTGATGCAAATCTAAGATATCATTGATCTTTACCATAAATATTATTGCAACAGAGTTGAAGTATTAACTGTTTCTGGAATGTGCACGGGGGAACGCCATTGTCAAGTTCTTGTTGAGATTGTGATATTCTTTTTTGTGATAAATTAGATAAGTGTCTTAAATCATGTTTTGCAGTTTATTGTAACTTGAATAAAGATTAATGTATGTGAACGGGGTTATGTTTCCTTCTTTTAGCTATTTTAAAACCGATATTTTAAGTTCTAATAAATAAGCTTTAATAACTAAGTTCTAATGTCTAAGTTTTAATGTCTAAGTTCTAATGTCTAAGTTCTAATGTCTTAGTTCTAATGTCTAAGTTCTAATGTCTAAGTTCTAAAAACTAAGTTCTAATGTCTAAGTTCTAATGTTCTTGTTTTAATAACTAAGTTCTTATAACTAAGTTTTAATGTCTTAGTTCTAATATCTAAGTTCTAAGATAGTTGAACGACGTTTAGGCCACTTTGTAGGTCTTTCACTGCCAAGGGCCCCTTTTGGACCACCTGCTAGAAACCCTTTATTTCGATAAATCGAGACAAGCTCTCCACTCTATTTTGTCTACACATACCTATTGGCCCGTGCATTTAAGAACACGTCCTTACATGTCTGAAAGGCAGGCGGAAGTTCTAATGTATCGCGTGAAAATCAGTTGATTTGGTTCTTCTGATCAAAAGACCGTAACACACATAAAAAACAATAAATAAACGTACTTAGTAACTAAAATGCTTTTGCATTCGGTGATTTCCTTTATCACTGCATTTTAAGGGACCATGCAACTATAGCCACAATAATGGCATGCGGTTTTTATAAAATCGCTATCATGGATTTTTACATTATTTTATTTTGTGCACGCTTTGCATTTAGTATTGTAGCTAGTTATGCAACAAT